CTACAAAGGGAAAAAAGCTGTCAAGCATTCTTTGACTTCTCTCAGACTGCAAGCTGAAATTCATTGCTGACAAGTTTTGTTTGGATGCAATAACATGCCTTCCATTTCTGCAGCTGTAATGGGGCTACTATGACAAATTACCCAAAGTAGTTGTTTCCTATTGGTTTATTAAATCATTCAATTCAACGTTCTAGCGTATTATTGCTTATTTGTCTGTTCACATTTTATGAAAGACATTTTTTAGATATTCCTGCTCAGCACTCCGATGACAGTTTTGATACTTCAAACGTTCTTTGCAACTTTTTGTTTATGGACTAATAATACATTTTGTGCCTGAGCCAAGGGGTTTTCTTGTGAGACAAATTTGCAAAATATTTGCTTGTGTTTAGGAAAAATCTTTGGCTGCACATCAGCTGGTGTCTAGTACATTATATCCCCTTATAACACTTCTGAGTAGGCTGTCCTTTAAGATTCTTGAACTAGGAGCATTCTAAAAAGTGACATGATTCGAAGACTGTCAATAGACTGCTTTGGTTTATTATTGTAATTATTTTCTTTTCTACGTATAAGTTTGTATGGGAGTTACAGTAATTTTTTCAAATTCTCATCCAGTTAGAAAACCAACATGTAGTGATTTTCTACCTTTTAATTTATGCACAATAAAGGAAGTCATCTTGTACCATTGGAAAGCCAGTAAGGAAGCCACAGCTCTTGTATTTGGTTATGGAAATACATTTAGAGAAATATTGATAGAGTCTTTTCTATCTTGATATGTTACTTCCAGTAACATTAATGCAAAGGCTGTGTAGACACTTGTATGCTAGACATACACAAATGTGCAGTGCAGCGTAAACAGACTGATTGATTTTTTTCTTCAAATGTTTTAAGATGCTTCAAAGGGTACATTGAGGCATATAAAGCTTAATTTATAAAGCAATAAACATATTTCTAAGTGCATACTTTTTTGTTATAAAAGCAGAGGAATTAAGACTGAAATATTTCTTTGACAATAACGTATGTTACCACCAAACAGTAGTAAAGGACAGTTTTAAGAAGTTGACACATTAGTAAAGAGTATATTAAAAAAACTGATACCCCCTTCCTTAAACCTTATGCACCTTCTAGATAGATCTTAGATTACTTAGACATTTCAAGTAATGAACTGTGTATTTTAAACACGAATCCTTGAGAGAACATCTTGTAAAGTATTAATAGGCAAAATCATACAAGACATCAATGTACCATTATTCAGCAACTTCAGCTTGAGTGCTTCAATCTCAAAAATCTCCAGATGTATCTGAATAGTGCTAGCTAGGTGCCAGAGAACTGAGGAGCTCTTAATATTTGAGGCAGTAATGCAAAGTCTGTCCATAAAATTGACTCAGTAAAATTCAGTAGCCACTAACAGAGCTGCTCCATCATTGAATCAACTGTGCTGGCAACTCATCACAAAGTACTTAGTTTCACAGAGGCCCTGCCCATCTCTCATTCAAGTTACAGTAGTGTCAGCGTAGATTATTCAAGTGTAGTAACTCAAGATAACTTCACTGTAGTGAAAACAAGAAGAACTAAATGGGATAATTTTGGTACTCACGTAAAAATTGGGGGTTTTACTGGCAAGTACTGCTGCTCATTATGCGTGTTCCTACGTATCAAGTGAAATAGCTAAAAATAAAGAGCAATTTACAAAATACATGTTTGCCATTAATAGACTATAAATGTAGATGTTTGAAAGACATGGAAAAAAATCTAGAGCCAGATATGCAAATGCAGACTCAGATTTTGTAATTCCTGAGTGCTTGCTAGCATAAATTGAAAATAAGGCAAAGAATACTATGCTCTCAGCTTTAGAATGTGAGCCAGAGCATTAAAAACTTGGGCACACAGAAGCTGCCACTCTGCCAATAACGAGGACTGCAGTGGGATCCAAAACTAATAGCATAAGCCTTCAGTTACAGCTAGAGCGCAAACAGAAAGGACTGTGACTGCGAATAAACACAGTCCTGATAGAAACGGAGAAGATGTACAGATGTGCAGCCACAAATATATTATACAATTTGGGTACACGTGTGCTGCGTTGGCTGGTGAAAACAAGGACACTACCCCTTAACCTCTGTAGTTAAGTCTAGCATTTGGCACTAAGAAGTCACAGTTTTTGTGGATGGGACATGTAACACATGCTATTCAGTAAGTTACGCAGAAATTAGAGAAAGAAAAATAGCCAGATGAAGACACTAAAAACTAATTGGCCATATGGGATTCAGATGCAAACTAGTGAGCAGCAGGATGTCCATGTGAGTCACCAGGATCTGAAGGGTGCCTAGTAGTAGCAGGATCAAGCCCTCAATCCATAAGAGAAAAATCATCATTGATGCTTGGAGAATTTTTAAGCCAAGTTTGTTGTTGTTAACCAGGTGATAACGAGCTGTGCTAGTGAGTGTTATTGGAACTTGTCATTTTCAGCTGTCATTCTTGCTAACAGAATGCCATGTTACATGATGCACAATATTGCACATCTCACCCACTCAGATTACACCTGCTAGCAAGATAAGCCTACATAGTTAATTTTACTGTTCACACAGTGACCAAATGGAAATCAGAATTTTGTGCGGTTTCTAATATTTGTGGATTGTTTTATTTGTTTACATTTTATACAAAGCTTATTCAGTCTCTGTATCATCAGATTTCTAAGTAAAAAGCAACCCTCAAAACCCATGCACCTCTAGCTAAAATGGTTTCTTTAGGTTCTCTGGACATTTTTCTTACAATTTAATATATCCCTAATGTTTTCACAGTTTGCAATTAAAACAAAACCTTTTCCAATTTTTAGCTAACAATAGCTAAATCTACCTCAGCTTAATCCAGGGGTAAAATTAAAACAGGTAAATTGTCATCCTCTTGTCCTCAGCAAGTAATTTCAGCTTGACAATGGGCAATTTGTTGGCCTACAGATAGAAAGAGTCCAGATCTATAATTTAATTATACAAACATCACTTAAGACAGATTCCAAAGCCACATGAATATCTGACTTTGATTATATTTTACTAGGTCAACAAACATTCGCTTGTCTGTCTAATAATCCCAGTATCATTTGTAACAAAATTAAAATATCTTAGGGGAAAAAATGTTTGATACTGAGCCACCCTGCTTAAATTGGTTTTATATTTTTTTAACAATCATAGTCTAAATACAGTAACTGTAACACCCTGAAGTTTTTACATTAATTTTCTTTGAAAAAAGTGATGACAGTTGGAGGAATTATCAGGTACTGAAATGTGGGCATACTTTTGCCTTGAAAGATGTTAAATGTGTATTTTTTTTCCTAGAGAATCACAGCAAGGCTTCCCTTTTCTCTTAGGAGAGATAAAAATAACTGTCACCATCACGAACACAAATCATAAAGCACATACTAAGTCTACATTCACACAGTCTCTGAGAAAATTAGGAAGAGCTGGAGAGCAAAACCAAAAGAGTTGATAAAGCAACACCAGGAGAAACAATACATTAGCCTATATGTAGCTATGCATTATTGTTAGAGACTCTAGTATCAAAGGTTTGCATGTTTATAGACAATTGTGTACCTCTGATAACAAACAGTGGAAGCAGAAATTCATATTTTGACAAATTTTTTTTTTACTTCCAATCCTGAAAGAATGCCAGTTTACTGTCTTAATTATCTTTAACTTTGACATTATCTTAAAAACATCTCCATATTCTACATTCTAGTATCACAGATTTTATCTAAGACTACTGTCTGGTAAAGTATTTTTTAGCAACAGCATATTTCACCTTAATTTGCAACAAATGACCACATAAAATGCATTCACTGGATAATACCACATCCTTAATTGCATCCAATAGTCCACAACAGATGTGCTATTAGTAAATAGTCACACTTGGCCAAATGTAAAGAAATTAAAAATGTGAGCTCCTGTGAGCAACATAACCCAGAGTATAGTTCCAGTAAGACATATCTTGAGATAGTTCAACCATTCTTAACAGCTTGCTAACAGTGATCCTTACTAGTAATCTGTTTCTTTCTTTCATAAATATTTTCCAACATTCAAATTGTTAGATTTATACTTGTTATAAGGACCTAATTGCTGCAAAGACTTACTGCTGAGTACCATGTAATACAGAATATTCTCATTGATTTTCAGCACCATGGTTCTGTCACAGACTTCTTGAATGACCTTGGACAAATCACTCGCATCAGATATTTAGTGCTTAAAGATTCACAAAAGAATGTAATGTTCTTAGATTGGAATGGAGTTAGGCAGAGAAATGTCTACCTGTATATTTAGGTGATCCTATTCCTTTAGAAAACTGTGTGTTCTTTTTCCTCCATTCTCATTTGTAAAAACAGGACTACATACACCTTCAGTTTCCCAGTCTGTGTCCAGCTGCCTGTTTATGTTGTAAGATTGTGGAGGTTCCATACCTGATGCTAGAGCAGCATTTAAAGGTGGAGACTTACACCGTTATATTTTGAAAATCTCTTCCTGCTTCTAGAGACAATGTCAGGCTCACAGCTCTTGCGACTTGTTGTTTCTGAACAGTTAAAAAATGGTTTACAGTCCCCATGGCAAGCAACGACAGCTTAGAGCTTGCTTTGCTCTAATTTATGTTAATATTGTGAAATACATTGCAGAAATACTGCAAAAAGAGAGCTCTTAAGCTTAATCAGAAAAGACATACTTAAAAACTGCAGGCTTGCACAAAAAAATGCAAGTCCAAAGGACATAAATGTAATATTACGTTTATCCAAATGCAATAGGCAAAAAAGCCCTCAAATAATTAATGAATACATTTGTTTCTAAAATGTCTTTTTAGCCTGAGGAGTCCAGTAAGATGCTGTGACTGGAACAAGTACGCAGCTGAGCTCATCTCCTGCAAAACTCACCAAGACCTCCTGCTGTTGGTATTGTAAAACACAGCTTACTTCTCACTTGAACACTGAAGCATGTTTAAAAGTAAAGGTCATTGAATTATGAACTTACCCAGTATAATACATCAGTCCACCCTTCCATGGTTATACACTGGAACACAGTCAACATTGCAAATGCAAAATTATCAAAGTTGGTTATGCCTCCATTTGGTCCAACCCATCCACCCTTACATTCAGTGCCATTCATGACACACTGACGTCCATTCCCTGAGAATGCACAAGGTGCTGGATCTTCTTCAACTAGTATATCTGAAAATTGAGCAAAAAAAATCAGAAGTTTCCGTTCTCAAGTTTTTGTGAATTCACGTGAAGAAATATCAACCCTGTTGGAAGGTAAATCCAGATATCAACCTAAGAAATGCTGAGAAAAGCAACCCATGGGATCTTCAGAGCTTTTAGTCTCTCTCACATCCAGGTCTTACAACCTTAAAATAAGTTAATCAAAACTGAATGTATAAAAGAGATGAAGTAATTAAGCAGTGGAAAGACGCATGCAACAATACAGCATAACTTTCTAGAATCCCCTCACGCTACTTTATTTTTTTTTTCCTCTTCATTGCTGTTTCTTCACTTCATGCCACTTCATACTAACACATGGACCACCAAGGAAAACAGGCCTGGACTAATTCCTACACATATCATCTACTTCATTACTTAAGCTAATAGACATGTACCCTTAGCCATCAGATAAGATCTCTCACTCATGATGTTTCACTCCTTCAAAATTCTCCCATAAGAAACACTTTCATTTATTTATTTCACCTAGATGGAGGAACAGTTTTCTTCTTCACTTTCAGATCTGCACTTATTGCTACACTGCCACAATCTTGAAGGAGGGACACTGCCAGATTGTGAACTCAGGAAAGTGTATCATCCCTGGAATAGGACTAGCTAGCTTTTCAGCAATCAGAGATTAGGGAAAAAAACTACCAAGTGGTCCCTTGTGGATAGTCACCCTCTCTATTTTCACTACTGACACATTTCAGAAATGAAAACCCATTCAGAGCATGTTCTAGTCTGTAACTAGTTTGCATATTTGGGGTTGTTTTTTGGTTTGGTTTTTGGTTTTGTTTTTTTGGAGGGTGGAGTTTTTTTGTTTTTTAAGTTTAATGCACTCATCCTACAATTATGAATCACAGTGAAAACTGAGGTCACAGCAGTTTTAGTCCTTTGGCCCCCATTCTATTTCAAACTGAAATCCCACGGACTTGAAAGAAAACAGAATTAATACCTCATTTTAGTCAACAGCTTCATGACTTACCTGAATCAATTAGAAAACAAGATTTGTGCATTTTTCCAATAAAAAGTTCCAATCCTATAATAGCATAGATTATGATTACAAACAATACCAAAAGGGCAATATGAAGGAGGGGGACCATGGCTTTTATAATGGAGTTCAGGACAACTTGTAAACCTAAAAGAAAAAAAAGAGAATACAAGATATGAATCAGACTTTTATGTCTTGCCTTACCAAATTTTCTGTAATCACACATTATTACAGACGTATACCAGTTTTAAAAAAAAATTCTACTGTTTCACCACAAAATGTTCCTGTAACGTAAAATACTTCATAACAATCTAAAATTTTGTGTCAAAATCTAATTATTGCCCCTGTTAATAAAGGTTACGTGGTAGACGTCAATACTTGAAATGTGTCACAAGAATTTACAGGTTTTTAGAAAGAAAGGGCATGTAGTCAGTGTGTGGCTGTAGGTAATTTTATATGACATTTAAAAAGTTCTGTGCTTCAACCACAACTTTGTGGTAAGACCTGAGAAAATGTACACTCAGCCAACTACAGAATTGTATTTTTGGTCTGGGAATTTTTCCCATAGTTACCTGGGAAAACATGTTTTTACTCTGAACAAGATACTTTTTCCTCATTTATCCCTCACATCAGTTTCAGAATTACTCCATTTTTCTTTTATTTTCCCCTTAAGTATTTAGCTAAATTTTGGTTTTACCAAAAGAAGTAAATCCCAGACTAGCACCAATGAGAACAAAACGTGCCTCTTAATAACGGTCTTCATTCTGGTATTTCATAAGGCTGCTTCTTTCTTCACTGAAGTTCTTTTGCTAAACATATACCATCACAATAACTTCCATGTAACAGACTACGATATAACAAACACAGCATTAGGATTCTTCTTTTGAATATTTTGGAAGGAGCTGAAGTGTAAGCCATGAACCTCTTATTCAGCCTAAATAGCTTCAGTAATTAATAACGTACTAAAAGAAAACATGAAAGTTATCAGAAAATTCAATTGCTTTCTTTAAATAATATTGCTCTATTTTTAAATTTCCTAATTTATCTGTTAGCTCTACTGAGATAAACAGAAAGCATTCATGTGCATTGGAGGGGGAAGGAAACACAAAATGTCTAATGTGCTTTGGCATACGCTTACCAACACATAAACTATTCTAGGACCACCTACACTTTCAGAGCTGCAGAGTTTTGGAATTAAAAAAAAAAAAAAAAAAAAATTTCTAGTGTATTTGCATTTTAACATGTAATTTACTTTTATATAAAGCTTCCAAAAAGGAAGTGTATTCCCCTGTCTGCTTATTGAAGTGCGTAAGAAGATCATACACTGAATGAATTCACAATCCTTTGTTCAACTTGAAATAGGGTATCATTCATCTTGAAACTTACTTTATATATGTAACCAGATAAATATAACAACTTTATGTTAGCTCATTTATGTTAGTGTCTGAAACAAGAAAGTTAAATAATCACATCAGTTACAGTATTCATTCCAATGGAATTAAATAGAAAAGCGCTTACTGGGCACTCCTGATACAAGCCGGAGAGGTCGCAATACACGAAAGGCTCTTAGGGCTTTGACATCAAAGCCACCAGGTTTTCCACCTGAGTGGCTGCCACCTTCTGTTTCTTTGGTTAATTGTTCCAATATTACACTAAATAATCTAGAAAACAAGATGAAAGGTAAGGTCACTACCATCCATTTACCATGCAATTAAAAGTATTATGAAATTACTTGAACCGCAGATAATTCTGAAAACCTGTTCAGCTGTCAAAATGAGGGTTATATTTACACGTTAAACAATGACAGGAAGAGTTATAAAGTGCAAGAGTTTCTAATCCCTCCAGAAAGCGATGATCACACAGTATCCAATAAATTAACATTCTGCTTGTATACACAATCTGCTATTTTTAAATAAATGAAGCTACTTTGCCACTTCTTTGTTCAAACATTTTAGCTGCAAGGTTTGGAGAAACAGTCTTCCCTTTAGAACATGAAATAGATAATCACTAGAAACCATCTGTTTTAATTTTGGTTGAATATGAACTCCAAGTGACACTGCAGTTCAGTATTCTAAATCCAGTCAGCAAAAACTGAATATATTAAAAAATAATTAGGGTCCAACATTTAATAACACCAAAAAGATTTGTTTCTTACACATATCTTTAAGGATAAAAATACTCCCAGATGACTCATTTATTGTATTGTATTTCTTCACTGCAGAAGTGAGCTAGTCATTCATTAGGACAGTTTGGAAGACAAGAGTTTTATTTTTCTTTCCCACTTCTAGCAGAAATTCAAAGTGACGCAAGTGGTTGAAGTACAAAGTAATCTCAGATTTATTTTAGTTTGGACATGCATTTCAGATGCCTAGTTTTCTAGACTGTGGCTTGACCACGCAAGCCATATTATCCTTTATACAGAGCCTGCAGTTCAGTAGTTTCAAAACTGAACTTCTCCTGAAAGGATTATCAAGGTAATAGTTTTGTAATCCTGAAAAGTGTTTCACACTTGTAAAGGACTCCTGAAATGTGCAGGGTTTTGGTTTTGTCAAGAAAAGTTTCCACAACTCTGGTTCACAACTCCATCATGCTGAATAGTTGCTAGAAATCATGTAATATTTAATAGGTTGCCCAGACTAGAATATTGAATACTTTCTCTTTCCCCAGTAAGCAACTGACCTGTATCAGTCAATACCCATACTTATTCTGCTTCATTCTCCTCCAGAGGGAAACCCAGCCACGAAGACTACAGAACTTAAACTGAACACCAGCAACCTACATACTGTTACAACCATTGAAATCCAGACATTTAATATTTCAGGTCCTGATTCAGCCCTATAATTTAATAGGAGCATAATTCTAAGAAAATGAGCCACCTCAGTGATTTCAGAGTGACTATTCCTGCTCTAAAGGCAGACATGATTAAACAGACTTCTGAATCAAGTCCTGAATTAAGAGAATCTGCTTTCAGCCTGTCAGTTCACACACCACACAGAAAATTAAAGGGCTACAGGCATAGCAAGGTGCTATGAAAGCTTTCTCTACCAGGACCTTATTCTTTCACAGAAATCAATGGAAATTATGAGGCGTAGCATCAGGCAAGTAGTAGACTGCTCTGAATGTAATTAATACTCTGACTGACTTCAGAGAGAATTGACAAAGACAGGAGAAAACATCACAGTCACAGCTATGTCTACAGCTCTGTCATTTTATGTCTACCCTATAAAGCCATTAAGGTATAAAATCATTGATCTCCTTTATTAAAACACACATTTATTTTCCTGTACATTTTACCAAAGTTTAAATGCCAAATTTGATTTTGTGGAAAAAACTCTCTATACATGCTTAGCCTCTGCTACTAGAGATTTCTTTTGGTACAATTAAGATTTACTCATTTGGACTGCTACGGTTTCTGCTGAAAAAGCACATGAAGCAAATTTCATCTAACACAGTCAATACAGGACATCATGGCAGCTCTTTCAAAGCTATTAAAATACCTAATGAAATTTCACAATGATACTAGTCAAATAGAATCAGATCCAGAAGCGACTCCATATCCACCTTGGGTTATATATGAAAATCAATTTTCACTGGGCTTTTAAGTATTAATTAAATAAATGAACTCATGCTTGCTTATGCAGGTTGTGTTCTACTTAAAAGAAACAACAAAAACATTGCCCACAGCATGCAAGAACAAAAATATTGCTCAGTTTTGTCAGTGGCTGACATGTTATGAAAGGTCCACCTTGTCTTCAAGGTAGATTGATGACAACCTACACAACGGTTTATATTCCAAAATGTCTAGTTTTGAACTAGGATTTAAATCTTAGTGTTTTATTTTAGGTATTTGATAAGATGTAGTCCTTTTTAATTCGTGTTTTCCACGGATTTAGTGTGAGCATTTGACCTAGCTGGATTTAGCCTCCAATAATGAGTGTTTTATGAGTTAATGGAAAATTTCTTAGTTATCATGTATTTAGGACACAGCCAAAGAAGAGGTCATGTTAATTAGACTGCTCCAGGGCTACTGTAACTCCGTGGTCACTTAACAAAAGGGAAGAAGTCTATTCAAGTGACTGCCTGGCAAGAGAATAGAGTTCTTATGTGGGATAGCATCCACACCTGCCCACCAAGCTTCCCCTTCAGGCACAGAGGCCAATCTGTTGAGAATGACCTGACCTGATGAAGGATCTATTTATACACAAATTTTAGTCCTGGTCCAAAACTGTCTGAATTCCAAGGAACTGGCCCAAATACAATCTTCTCCATAACATTTACTATCTCAGAACCAAATACTTAGAAATCAGGTATTCATACATTCATAACACTTGCCCAAATTTAATAGTGCTTTACCACAAATTCCTTTACTTTGTGTCTGTCTTTTTTTTTTTCTCCCCCCTTAATGTAACGACATGAGTTGAGAGCAACACATGCTTAGATTTCTGGGTCTTTTCAATTACAGGGCACACTTGATATAGTTTGAACTTAAAAACGAAATTAGAATTGCACGCTGCATGCAAAGGTCTTCTTTGCAAGCCAGCCACAACATACAAAGTTTACGCAGATAACGTTCTCCACGTTCTACATGATAAATATTTCCAGTAAACAAGATTTATAGTACTGGAAATTCCTTTTTTTCAACATAATCTCTGCAATATTTAACCAATTGGGGAATATATGCCTCAAGATTAAATTTCCTAGATAGCAGAAGGTAGGATCTTCTAATGAACTAGCAAAACCATTGACATGAAATTACTGACACAAAATTTTGTTTATCAAAAGCAGGCGCATAACTTAAGTGTGGGATGTTCCACTTTCCACTGTCCTGTAACCTGCACAAGGGCCAAGCAGTCCCTCCTCTGAGGTGCAGAACAAACTCTACAGGGTTTCCTGGTACAGCAAGGTACAAGGTAGAAAAAAAAAAAAGGCATTTTTAACATACATTTTCACCCAGGCAAGACAAAGTCACACACATATATATAGATATATAGATATACGTATGTATCTGGGGCCTGACATGCAGCACCCCAAAAGAAAGTCCAATTTGTCTCAGATTTCAGGAAGGTCAAGGAATCATTCAGTTAACTGCCTCCCCTGACCACTCTTCTCCACTTTGAAACACACGGGTTCTCCCAGGGGTCTTCGTAGGATAGATGAACTCCACATAACTGCAGTATAGCGATAAATGAATAAATGATATAACAATGTATGGACCTAAACAGATCAATCTTTATCATACGGAAAGACATCAGGAGTTCACCTTGGAAAAATCAGATGGAAAAGATTCTGCAAGGAAAATTTTTGGCAGAACTGAGAATTCCCTGGGAACTTTCACTATGAAACAGATTGTACAACACAGCCGGCAGCCACAGATAGTGTCAAAAACTTTTAGGACTTTGTTTTGAATTTTTCACTCACACCAGTTCATTCTTTCACTCCAAAGGAACAGAAATCCAGCATGGGCCATTACTCACAGCCAAACAGATCTACATCTACCTCACTGTAAAGAAGATTTCAAATGTTTGTATAAGGATAAGTTACTTACCCTACTATTACTATTACAAAATCCAGTAAATTCCATCCATTTCTAACATATGCATTGGGGTGTAATAATAATCCATATGCTATAATCTTCAAAAATGTTTCAACTGTAAAAATTATCAGGAAGGCATATTCTACTTTTTCCTGTAAAAGACAAAGAAGTACAATGAAATTCAGTAACAGCTCTTTTACTAGTTAGAATTTGCAGTAAGCAGGTAAGTTGTATTGATCAGGACTAAGAAGATACAATATTTGATGGCAGTTTATTTTACAAGTTTTCATTGCATAGCACTTAATGATAGCTGTGCTGACAAGGTTATAATTACATAATTGCATGAGATTCTCCTGTTTTCACATTCTGAGAAAGAAAAAGGCTCTGTTTCTGCAAACATGGAAGTATACTGTACCTTTGCTTAAGCAAATAGTCCTGTCCAGGTCAATAGAAGCCCTTACGTTCATTAAAACCAGAAAATGCTGTAGAACAGGGCCCTCAAAATATCCTTAAAAGGTACGCAGTGTTATACTTATTTTCACTATTCATTATATCAGCCTTTGTTTAATTAGGACCCACAGAGTTCTACCTAAGTTTGAGGTAGTGTTATCCCATACTAAGGAGATTCAAGAAGTATAGGCTATTTAACAGGGTCTTCATTTAATTTTACACTGTCTTGAAACTTTTTGGTCTTGACGTGGATGTTTACATTGATTTATTCTTCCTTCTACATCACCAGAATTTTTTTAAATCATCCCAATATGCCTGAAGAAATTTTAAGTTAGCATATCACCACCTCGTATCATTGAAGCTCCAACTTCAGATTTGTTTCAATGCTTTTTTTTTAAACATTGGTTTCTTCATTTTACCAAAATTTTTGTTTTAAACAGAACTATACATTGAATCTTTCTTCCTAGCTAATTGGATGCTATTTTTTGTAACTGCTTCTTTCTATAGTAATAGCATATTTGATTTAGAAAAATTGTAAAAGTCACTGCTACCAATACAGATCAGCTAACACATTTGGTTTTACCTTCAGAAATCATAATTTCATCACTTTGTATAATATTTTGTTCAGTTATCTGTTGCTATGCAAATATTAGAGCCAAGAATAAAAGGCACAGAGAGAATGATTCATTTTTTTTAAACTTCTCTTGGAACACATGATGTTGCTCACTTGTCACACAACATTAATTATATGGACTATAACTGCTCAAGTAAGGATTACAATCTTCTATCATATACTCAGATATAGCACAGACATTACACACAAAAATACGTATTTGATATTTGTTACACAGCTTGGCACTTACACACATAACCTAATAATAAACAAACCTTAACCATTTGCAATTTAAACACAGATCTTTATATTTTCACATGCAAAGTCTTTAATTTGGGAAGCTTTTCCTCGTAAAAGGGCCATTTAGTGTTGGTTATGTATAGGATGTAATATATCCATATTTAAATCTGACAATGGTGACTTAATAAATGTAGAGGCTTATCAATAAACTACATACTCCTCTCCAGGTCTTCAACTCCAGAAAGCAGCGCCCTGGGATCACTGAGAGGTAAGGCTTTCTCCTAGTGCAAAGCAAGGATTCTGGATCTCATCTCCTGCTTAGCTCAGTCCCATACTCCTGCCTTTTTCCTCTGCTTTAAGTATACCTTCAGAAACACTGCTTCTTCTCAGCTGTATTATATTTTGCATGAGATCTTCCAGCCCAGTGAAACTGATTGACATCCTCCTTCTCCCTATACTTTCTCATGCTTCTTTCAAAATTGTCTCTTCCGCTTACCTTTAATTTATCACCAATAAACTGGAACAATTACTGCATAACAAGAATGAAGTGGCCTCACAGAAGAAATATGAACGGTTTGTGCACCAAAAGCCATCAGATTTCTTTGGCTAGAGAGGACCACAGAGGTTACAATAATATGAATTATCAGCACTCCTAAGAAACATACTGCAAAAATACTTAAATTCAAGCAAATCCTACCATGTACGCATTTCACAATAACTGCTATTTCTGTCTCCCTGCGTATAACTAAGTCTGTAGCTTAGATATAGAAAGATAAATAATGTAAGACAACATAAGGAAGACAAAAATACTACGGTTGGCATTTGCTATGGGCAAAATATATACCAAAATCATAGTAGTAAAAGAAAAGGTGAGGCAAGAGAGCTAGGAAGTTTCACATATGCAGAATTTCAACAGCTTCTTTACATAAAGGGAACATACAACAGGACTGGATGAGACCTTCTGGGCCAAGATAACCTCTTGGCTCACCATCTCCATTGTCGCATTATTACAGGCAAATATGTCATTTAATTCCACCCATCAACCTACCAGATTCTACCCTAAGAAGCATCTTTGCCCTTCACTGCTCCCCTTCAAAGAACGTTCTAATGCTCTTCTGCTATTTGGGCTAGGTACCAGTCCTAGTCCCAGTGTAACTTGCTTAATGGTTACATACCCTTGCAGTTCATTTTAACGTGATAGTTCAAATCTAACACTATCATTTAGCATCCAACTTCTAAAATAATATTGTCTTGTTCCTGTTTATTTTATTTCTCTTTTATGGAGGCAGGACTGTTTCTTATTTCCTAAACAGTACAGCAAATATTCTATTAAAACAATACAGGATGTAAGACCAGCTCATTTTTTAAGCCTAGTGATGGGCTTAAGGTCAACGTGTGTCACTTAGTAGACGGACCATAAGAAACGTTGACATCTGGACCAACAGAAGCCACATCAATCTCAACAAGGAAAAATGTAAATTTCTGCACATTGTGTTAAATAATCCCACACAAATATGGGCTGAAAAAGGATCTGGAAGTCACAGTGGGCACCAAGTTAAATATGTGCCCACTGTAAATCAGACAAATTCCAAATTGGGCTGTACTAGGAACCACACGATGAGCAGATAGAGGGAAATTGTTATCCACCTCTACTCAGTGCTATGAGGCTACAACACCATTACAGTTTTGGATCTCAGTTCAAACAGGGTGTTGAGAAAGTGCAGACTCCAGTGAAGGAAAGGCTCCTCTCCAAAGAGGAAGCTAACAGAAGGTCTAACAGTAGACTACAACTACTTGAAGGGGGGTTAAAAAGTCTAAGAAGCCAAATGCTAAGTAGCGGCACATGGTAAAATAAGGTGAAACAGGCACAAGCTGCAGGTTTGGAGGTTCAGAAGATATTAAGAAAAATTTTATCAGGAAGGTAGTGCAGAATGGGAACATGCAGCTTCAAAGCAGGAAGTTTTGTACATACAGCTAGGCAAAGGTATAGCTGACCTGATCTAGTGCTGGCAAGAGTCCTCCTAGGAGCTGAAGATCTAGGCAAAATCCAGAGGTCTCTCCCGGTTAATATTTGTATAATTTCTATTATTCTGATACGATTCAGATAACACTTACACAATCAGAGGGAAAAGCACAGATAGATTCAGGGCATGTACAACTACTTACACCCACTACACATTCAACATCTAAAACGCCCTGCATTCTACGCAATGTTGAACACTGAGAAAGTTTTCCTTCCTTTCTGTGGAAGAATAGAAATGTTTTCTTCCATCCTCATTCCCTGTTGTAAAGCATATATATGTCTTGTTCCAGAATTTGCCCCTAGAAAAACATATTCATAATGGATACAAGACAGAATCAGGGATGACGCTATCAACTGAGCCAAGGGCACAGGGGAAAGATACTTTGTAACACTACCCACTAGGAGCCACAATTTCTTGAAAACCTTGAGAAAAGGAACACAGGTAATTTCTATACATGCACAACCAGAGACACCTATTTTCCAGTGTTTCATTTTTCCTCCCTTCCTCCTTTCCTTTCTTTTTCTTTCAGGCTCTAGCACACTCAATTTTTTATTAAATCACAACTTGTGTCTTCCACAGAGGAATGATTTGGCCCAGTAATTAACCATATTTAAAGTACAGGCTGTGCTTTCTTTACAGATTGGTTTGTGTGGTTTGTTTTGGTTTTTGGTTGGTTGTTTTTTGTTTTTTTGTTTTTTTAAATAAGTAGGCAGCCAACAGATGTTCTAACACAAACTGCAAAGTTAACAACCTGCTCACCCTCGGGAAGGTACTGGCAGTCCCTTCTCACACTTCTGTAACTTCTTGCCAGTCACTATGGACATCAACTTTTGCCTCCACAACTGAGATACATCAGTAGGCCATACATTACCCAGCATGTCCAGAGCTTAAGCAACCATTGCTCAAGAGTAAATAAAGTTTAACCTATCGTACCATTTTCAGTATTATTGGATGAGTTGCAGAGGTAGGGTTACTATGTAAAAACAAATCTAAAGCTGTAAGAGATAATTAAAGATACAGACTGAAGACTGCAGTCCTAGTGGTTTATGACGCACAGAGTTATCTGCTTTCTTTTCACTATAGTGGAAAAAACTAACCCTGCACATCTTACTTTGTTCAAATTAGTTGAGATCTTTAAGTGAACATTTTATTTCATTAAAAATGGAAGTAGAAACACTAAGAAAGATGACAACTAAACAAAAAATCATTAAATACGTAAGATGAAGTGACTGCCTGAAAAACAAAATCTGTATTAAAACAGAGAGGACAATTTTGGTCCTAGGAACTTGCACAGATTAAATTAGAAATGGAACATAATTTCTAGTATCTATTATTGCATTTAGTTCTATATTGCATCACAAAAGTAGAGAGAACACTGAGCTGTAAATCTAAAGACATGAAGCACAAAAATATGTCTGTGCTACTAAGGATCTAATTCTACAGCTGTATAGATTAATAGTAGTTTGTTCACTGATTTGATACCACGCAGAGCGAGGTCATCTCTCTTTACAGGCAGCTGATTTCTGCAAGACTGTAACACTTTTGTTAATGTTGTTCAAAATCTTCAAGTCTCAGCCATTTTTTTCTGAATATATGAAGCAACAATAGGACAGATAAGATACACTGCCATTCTGACAGAGACCAATGAGCTCCACTTTGACACTGACCATGGAGTACAAAACAACGGCTACCCTTATGCACTGAATTTCAGTGAAATTATTAAAACTATTTTCTCAGCAAAAAAATACATTTGCTTTCTTATTTTAAGTAAATCAGCTTAGCAGAAACCCTGTTACTCAGGAAGAAATTTTCCCTTCCCTGCCAT